GTTGAACCATGAGCCCAGGGTCCCCGCAGGAGAGGGGAGCTTTCTCTTCTCCCCGTTAGAAACGGGGCGGGGGGGGAAACGGACGGACCCACGCTCTGGCGAGGACGTGGAGCGCAATTCCTCGTTACCGCACTAATTGCACGTAACACGCGCTCAGGTCACTGACGCTAATGGAAACGGTGGCTGTCGTTCCAATTCTTCCCACTAGCGCGCCTGTGGAAGCTCTTGACCTTCGTCGTGGCTCTGCCTGGGGTCGGCGTGTGCATGCTGAACTGCTACTTGAAAGCACAGCACGAGCACGAGAGACCCGAGTTTGTTCCTTACGCTCACCTCCGGATCAGGACCAAGGTACGTTTGCCTGCTCTGTTTAGAGGCCCTTTTGATTGCAGGGCTTCATCTGAGATTACTGCAACGTCTCTTGCTTTCTTGTCTGCTATGTGAGGTGCTGCGTTCGTAGCCATGATCTCAACTCATGGCTTTGTTTCTGAGGCAGCAAGAAGAGTTTCTCACAGCTCAGGTGAAGTACCCGTGGTATTCACAGGCCTTCCCACCCCCAGGCAGTCCTGTTAAAGTCTTGCTGAAAAACGTTTCGGTCCTAGAGCTGCTGTACTTATCTTAAACTAATACAGATCTAAAAGCTAGCAGAGGAGATCCCAAATTCTCAAAACTGGGGTCCTCGCAGTATAGCACAGCTGATGTTTAAGCAAGAGCAAAGATCTCGTTGTCTGGAGACAGTGGCTCCCAGCTAAGGGAGACCGTTTTCCAACTCTTGCTTCCTACAGCCTGGGAACAGATGCCAACTTGCTGAATTCATCAGCCCATCAAGCTGTGTGATGTTTGAGTCCATATTGCTGTTGATTTCCTGTGCCGTATCGATCAGTTAGCTGCCACTGGCTTATTTTCTTTCTTCTTTCAACAGCCTTTCCCCTGGGGTGACGGGAACAAAACTCTGTTCCACAACCCCCATGTTAATGCTCTCCCGACCGGTTATGAAGATGAAAACTAAGACCCTGACCACAGCCAGAACTTTGGCTCTTCCCTTCTTGGACCAGAATGTCGTGTGGGAACCATTGTTTAAGAAACTCCACATTCCTTCTGCGATGAAGCTGAATGGCGTTGTGGCCTCTGTCTGTACTTGCGTAGAGGTCCTTTAAATAAACAGCTCTGAACTTGAATTTAGGATCTGCCTTTTTTCTTAATCTGAATCCTTAGAAATTCTTTAGTTCAGTCTTTGCTTAAACATTGAGGCTTCCCACAGGATACAGTGCAGGAGCAAAGGGGTTTGACTGCCTGAATGTTAATACCTGCTCCTGTATCTGACAACGCTAACAACAGGAACGCAGTCAGCATAGGACATGACTCGATTTCATATTCTTCATGTCTGGTTTAACCGATCACTGTAAACCCACAGCTCACAGCCAGATGAACAGGTATTGGGCTAATACTGTAGATTAAAATTCAGTATATACTGAAGCACGTTCTCCATAACCAGCTATTGCAGTATTTATTAACAGTCATGAAGGCAATTTTCTCTTAGCGCCTTCTGGGAGAGGGAGTGGCAGCAAAGATGTTTAATTAAGCTCTGTGCACCTTCACAACGTTAATCTTCAGCTCTCAAATGTTCTAGTATATCAGCACGTATGTTGCTCACAACTCTGCTTTTCATAAAGCTGCGGTCTGGTTGTACAAAGTCTCATACAGGCGTTACAAACGAAAACACCGTTTTTGCTCCACTGCATACGTCTGTATAATGTATACTGTGTGACTCAGAAGCTTCTTCACCTAGAAAAGCTTAATTACCTTCCATAGTTAACAGCCGATTCTAACCCTGAGTCTGTTCCAGTACAATATTAATTTTGAAGCTTTTCTTCTCTGCAAGTTGACTATTTTCCAATTCCTTCTGCAACTTCTATATTTTTTTGCATGGTATGAAAGAGAGAGCTATGTCTTAGCTGCCATTAATACTGTTTTTCCCCAAAGGAAGAATGCAGCAGCTGACTTGACATCTTGCTGCTGAAAGGAGTGATGGACGGCAAGTGACAATCTCAAAGTGGGCACTGCGGGACACCCCCCCATTTCAATGCAATTTATTTCATCCACATACTAGTAAAATGACTGCTAAGACAAGCTTTTCTGTGTTAAAAGCACAGAACAAGGCACTAATGGACACAGTAGTGTTCAAGCTAACCAACAAAATCGCGCTACATTTATTCCTACATGAAGATCATAGAAAAGCAAACTGGTTGTACGTGTTATTCCTTAAAAAAAAAAAAAAGCCACATACTTGACAGTCCCCAACATACTATTTACGGTGCTCTCAGAAAGACCTTTCCCTTAACTTACTATTTTTATTTATACCTGAGTGACCCAGCAGTTTAAGTGTCAAGAGCTTGTTTTTTAAGTGCTACATTTAATCCCTGTACCAACGCTGCACTACCTGTCTCACGCGCCTGAGAAAAGGAGCGTGGCTAACCCAGGCTACCTGACTGCGCTCCAGCTGACGTGTTCAGGCCATCGCTGAAGACACAGGGAACGACGGCCCCCGCCTGCTGCCGTTCCTGATCTTCTGCACATGTCCCACAGTACTCTCAGTGTCTGGGGGCGTTACTGAGGAGCTGCAGTGCAGACAAGCCGGCTGTATGTTTGGGAACAACTTTTTTTAAAAAAGTAAAACCTCTGAACAATCCTTCAGGTAGTGCTTAAAAGCTGAGAGAGTGAAGCTCGCTTTTTTCCTCACTGTAATTCTAGGAGAATTAGGAAGTTGACTTCTCTTTTGTCCCCAGGCCATAATATTTTTTACTCTTTCACCTGTGTTGGTGTCATGAGAAGGGACAGCTTTTGCCCATCTCTGTATGAGGATCAACAGAAATCTCCTCCCCTGCCACAGTGCTCACAGGGCCACTGGACGGGACGGATCCTGATCCCTTGCTTCTCTTCCAACCCCCCTTTTTCTAGTTGCTGCAAGCATTTCTGCAGTTCACAAGCCAGCGTAAATAACTTTCGTTTGCTCTCCTAGGCGTAAAGTACACATGGTTCAGGAGCAGCTTCACGAGCAGGCAAGATCCCCAGGCGGCAGCTGGGGCTTTTAACATTATCAGCTGTCAAGCTTCAACCCCATGTTTCCCTCATTCAACGCACGCCTTAACTACCACAAGCAAAAGTCTAACAGTCATCATGGCCAGCCTGGTGCTTTGTGGTAGTGTGGAAAAGGACGGCCAGGGCTGCGATGCAGTTTTGCTGCAGGAATGCACAATGCTAAAAGAGAGAGAATTCAAGTTCAGGATTGTTTCAGTACCTCAGAAAAGGTTGAAGAAGTAGCCTCTGCATTAAAAGTGTCCAGCTTCTGTTGCAGGCCGTCTCCGTCCCTCCTAGAGGTCACAATCAGATTCTACTGGACAGTTATCTACTTGAACAAAATATAACCTGGTTATATTTATTTTAGCTAAGTTACTGCAGGTCCAATAGAGTGCTTTTATACCATCTCTGCTGCTGATACAAAACAATGCTTTAGCCCCTCAGCATTCCGGATCATATAAAACAAACTTCTTCCACCAAAATTCAGCAGCATAGGGATGAGACAAAATAAATCAACCTCCTTCATACTCTTTTTAAACACTTTCAAGTGTTATATAAATAAGCAAGAGAAACTGGTCACAAAGCAACTACTCTCTCAGCCCACTCTAGTAATAAGTATTCTCCCATTATAGAGTACATTCAATAGGAAGTTAGTTCAAACGGCTTTTCACGCTGTTAGATGCTGAACCACCACCAAAATTCATTGAAAAGGAGGCAGTAGTTACCACATGATCCGGCCTTTTTCTTTCTTTTTTTTTTTTGTGGCTGTTTGTTTTCACAAGCGGAGAAGATTCCTCGCTTCCTAGAAAGCAGCTTAACAAAGGTCTTATCCGGGTGGCATCTAGTCTTATGCCTGGTGATGTTGCTTAGTCCAAAGGCTCATATTAGCGACTCCATCCATACAGTTGAGGTCAAGAGGAGTTTTCAGTTTTCCCTTTGCTTGGGCCCATGAACTCCAGGCCTTCAATGGGTATGTCCTTTTCCTTGATTGCTTTCTGAAAAGACGAAAAACAAAACCAAAAAATTAAACTTGACATGTCTTTATAGTGCTAAGCGATATAACCTTTGGTACAAAACATGATCTAGAAAAAGTAGTCTTAAGGCTGATTTGGATAAAGCTTCAGTATTAGAGACGCCCAAGCATACACCGAGAGCTGCTGCTGAACTACAGTCCAGATCCTATCACATAAACGTACCACAGCCTCTAGACCAGCAGGCTTAAGAAGTTACATTAAGGGGAAAAATACAGTAAGAGACACCTGTAAAACACTACACGTCACGACCGGCAGCAACAGGAGACAACGCGGAGCAGCGCGGCGGGGCGCGCAGCTGCGGGCGGAGGCTCCTCCTGGGGCTACCAGGCGAGCGGCGAGAAGAACGAGTCCGGCGGAGGAACGCCTGGGGCGGAAAGCGCGCAGGCAGAGCCAAGAAGCGGCGTGAGGGTGCCCGTGTGCCGAACCAGCGGCGACAAACCGGGCGGCGCCAGCGCCGCACGCACCTGCACGCAGAGCTGGTAGCGCTTGAAGAGCTGCCCGCAGGGGTCCCCGGCGCTCTCGCCCTTGAGGAACTTCTCGGCGAACCAGCGGTTGAAGCACTGGTCGTACTCGCGCTTCAGCTCGGTGCAAGCCTCGCCCACGCTGTTCATGGCGGCGGCCGAGCGCCCGCCCGCGCCCCGTCACCGCG